TGAACCGGTCGACCCGTACTCGCCACCTACCCGCCACCACCACCCACCCGCCACCATCTACCACCACCCATCATCCGCCACCCACCTGCCACCACCACCACCACTACCACCACTCACTCGCTACCACCCACCATCCACCACCGTCACCCACCCACCCGCCACCACTTACCACCACCCGTCACCACTTACCATTTCTCACTCTTTTTTATATTTTTAAAATTTTTGAAACATTTTGTCTAAACCCAACGCGTTTGTAGTTTATGTTTTTCTAAAAATAAACAAAAACCAGTTTATAAATTTTTGTTAATATAAACTGAAAACGTAAACGTTACCACACAGGCCCTTAGAAATTCACACCAAACACAGCCTTAGTTTTTCTATATATGTCAGGTGTCATTATGAGTTACACTGGGCTATTATAGTAGACAGTTAACTAGTTATGGGGACTGCACTTTACACCAAGGGCACTAATGATGTGTTTAATAGCATTTGCAAGTATAGAGGACTTAACTTTTGTAATACTGAATTACGATTCTTGCTCAATAAATTCCTTCGTGCTTGTCCATTGTGCCTCCAATGACTCATCATGTCTTAATATCGCACTGTAGTTGGCACATAAGTTAATTGTTAGGTGGAGTGGTGTGGTTAATAGTTGTTGAGCAGATGTGAATATAATGATGTTTGTAGGTATCATTTCTGAAAACCCTCACGAGACTATACTCATCCACTTGGGGTAACTTTGTGGTTTAAAGGCTTGTTGCATATGCTAAATGCAATCATAATCCCTACTAAAGTGGCTTAGAGTTATTTTATTTTTCCTATGACTGCAAATGAACCAAGCCGAACCGATCTTTGCTGAGCTCGAACTCGGCTCATTTATTTATCGAGCTCGTTTATTAAGCTCGAGCTCAGCTCAATGAGAAAATGGGCTCGAGCTCGGCTCGGCTTGTTAACATTAATGAAACTTGAGCTCGGCTCAATAATTTTTTTTAATATTATTTATATTATTTAAATAAATATATTTAAATAATATATTTATTATATAATTTAAATAAAGATAAACAAGCCGAGCTCATGTGAGCTCGAGCTCGGCTCGTTTACTAAATGAACCAAGCTGAGCCGAGCCCTTAACGAGCCGAGCCTAGCTTGTTCATGAACAACTCAGTTCATTTGCAGCCCTCTTATTCATTTTGTTTTGCTTAAGGACTAGCAAAATGTATTGAGGCCGCTTAAAGTACACTTATAGTCTTTGAATTTTTTCTATTTGGCAAAGATGATTTGTTTTGTACACTTGTACAAATTTGGCAAGCAACACACAAATTCAAGCGAAAAGTGGCACAAAAGCATATTCTCCTCGCAAGAAGTGAAAATGTTCGGCCTGCTACCTCACCGCACGTACGGCCCACCATCACTCGAGCAGAAATTATGGGTGCTCGAGCAGCCCACCTAGGGATACGTACGCATAATTTCAAGTTTGTTCTACTGTGAATAAAAATAGGAAAAGTAGGTTGTTCTAGGATTCCGAAGATTCGAAAAGAGATGAGGGGCTAAGATTTGGAAATGAGGGTTCTCAAGCTTCAAGAACATCTTGCATGGGGGTTTCTTCTTCTTTTATCTCTTTCCACTCCTCCATGAGTGGCTAGACTTCTATTTCTAGGGTTTTGATAAAATACTAGACAAGTAAAGAGGGTTTTCTTTTTGGTTTTTGATTATGTAATGGTATGAACAAGTTGTATGGTATTCAAGAAATTTTCAATTATATTTTCTATTATTTCTTCAAGTATTCTCCTTTCTGTGATTGTTGAATGCTTTCCATGCAATGATTTTCTGTTCTTTCATATTCAAGGTATGAGATGAACCATACTGCGAGGGACGAGTCGTTTTGCTACCCTAGTTTAGAGCGAAGGACTCGTGCTCTACTTGAGATGGTTCATGCCTATATGTTGAACGTGATAATTCTCTTGATTAATGCTTCGAACTTGTTGTTGCAAAGTATTATTTGATTCAAGTTGTATAATTAATTTTCAAATTGAGACCTTATTTATATAACTAGTGGTGAATTCATTACCCTAGCTTTATCCCAAAAATCAATAACCCCAATTTCACTTTTAATTGTTAGGTTAAATTCTTCGTTTATTTTAGTTATTATTCGTTTATGAATCATCATCTTTTTAATCAAAATTAAATTAAAAATTTAACAATTAAATTAGTTTAATTTCACATTTGTCTATGTGGATTGATATCTGGACTTATCATTATTCTAAGGAATTTAGTACAATTTAGTGTTTATTTTTGGTATGTAAAATGACCCATCACATATTTGTTTTATTCATTATTGGGCGAATTGCACTAATAGTCTCTATAGTTTAGAGCTCGTATCACTTTGGTTCCTGACTTTTCAATTATGACATATTTGATCTTAAATTTTGAATATTGCTTCAACTAAGGACAATTGAAAATACCATTGCTCAATTTCAAGGGCAAAGTCGTCAATTCAATAAAACAAAAACTAATTTGACAAGAATAAATGTCAAAAAAATATTTTAAAATTTTTAGAAATATTTTCTACCAACCAAAGATAAAATTATGTAAAATTAAAAAATATTTTAGACATTTATTTATTTGTTTGTTTTTACCAAATTAATTTTTATTATGTGATGATGATCATGTAATGAGTGGTTGTTAGACTTTTAATATGTAATCAATATATTTAATATATGAAATGTTTTTAGTTTTGAATTTTTTTGATTTAATGGATCGGTTAAATAATGATATCAAATTTTTTGCCATATTTGACTTTTGAAAAAATAAAAACTAATTTAATGAAAATAAAAACAACCACCCATTACATGATTATCATCCAAACACATAATAAAAATTAATTTGGTAAAAATAAATAAATAAATAAATGTCTAAAAGATTTATCAATTTTACATAATTTTATTTATTAGTGGGTAGAAATAATTTTTAAAAATTCAAAAATATTTTTTTGACATTTATTTTTGTCATGTTGGTTTATATTTTTATCAAATTGATGACTTTACCATTGAAATTGAATAATAGTATATTCAATTGTCCTTATTTGGAGTAAAATTCAAAATTCAGGGTCAAATGTAGAACTGTAAAAATGGCCCGTGGCTCGGGATGGACCGGGCCTGGTTAGGCCCGGGCTCGAGCCCGAGCCCAGCCCGGAACCCTGGGCCCAAGCTTGGGTCATCATTTTAAAGCCTAGGCCGACCCTCAAAGCCCGCCCGAGCCCTAATGTCATTTTTTGTGAAAAAATAAAATAAAATTTTGGTGAAAAAAATTTAAAAAAATGCCCAAGCCCGAACCCAGGCCCGCCGACCCGACCCGCCGACCCGTCCAAGGCTCGAATACTTCCTGGGCCTAGGCTTAATTTTTTGGCCCGTGGACCAGCCCGACCAGAATTTTAGCGAGAGCCCGCGAGGCCCGACATGGGCTGGCCCGAGCCAAATTTACACCTCTAGTCAAATGTGTCACAATTGAGAAGTTAAAGACCAAAATGATACGAGACTCAAACTATAGGACCGTTAGCATAATTTGCCTTTCATTATCTGAGATGAGAGGTAGAGAGGAATATTGGTGTTTAGTTGTAAATGGTTAACTGTTATGAATAAGAAAGATAGGGATTTAGTTGTATGATTCAAATTTTCTAAATTCTTAAATTATTATTTTTACCCATTAGATTAACTTTTCACTGTTGTTGATTTGCGAATATTGTCTCCAATTAGATCATATGAACTGAAATAAGAAACAAGAAATGGATGCAACTAATAATTTAGGAATGAAGTAAAAAAAACGTGACTATAGCTTACTGTATAACAAAATATGAAAATTTTAAAAAAAATTCATTGATTATAATTTGTATTTTTTGTATTTGGTGAATTTATTTTTCACAAATATTATACTTTTTAAATATATCTATATTAGATGTATTTAAGAAATAAAAAGTTTGCGTAAAATATTAAAAAAATTCACTACAAAAAAAAAAAAAAAAAAAAAAAAAAAAAAACACAATTTTTTGAAGAGTGAATTAAACCAAACAAGGTAAATACACTACAACAAAATTGAATTTTTACGGCTTGCAATACATGCCGTAAAACTCTTTCACGGCATACACACAAATGTCGTTATATGATGTCGCAGAAAGTTGAACGTCATTTACGGCACGCAAGTAAAATTGTAAAATGTAATAAATTAAACATCAATGACATACTTTATATGTCGTATATAATTTTTTACGACATTTTTGTCATGCCATAAATCATCATACTTTCCATGGCATAATTTTGCATGCCGTAGAAAGTTATTTTTAATATATTTATTGCATACTTTGTATATTGTATATAGTATTTTACGACATTTTCTTGCATGTCATAAATCATCACTTTTCACGACATAATTTTATATGTCGTAGAAAGGTCATTTTTAATATATTTATGACATACTTTGTATGTCGTATATAATTTTTTACGACATTTCTTACATGCCATAAATCATTATACTTTTTAAGGCATAATTTTGCATGCCGTAAAAAGTTATTTTTAATATATATATATACACACACGCATAAGAACATAACCTTGCCTAGCCGTATGCACATCCAAACAAAGGCAGTAGCTTATAAAGTGCGGCAACATGTGAACAAACCAAGCAATTTGCTTATAAACTTAAAGTCCTAAATCTCCAAGGCATTAGCATTTTTTGGTAACACTGTTGAAAATATTTCAATTAAATTTGGCTCTTGACCAAGTTAGCTAGACTCATGCAATGAAATATGTTAGCATTTTCACTTCCATCATCTAATCTAACCTACATACAGATACATCTCTAAAATACTGAGACAATGAATCTGCACTTCTTCCCTACAAGATAAATGTGTCAGTATACTTAACTAAGCAAGAACTTGCAGATTTTAACAAAAGAAAAATCAAACCAAATTTACTGCTGAATTTTCCACTAAGATTAAAATTTCAGTATTGGCAAATTCCCTTTATTTTGTATCTCAACATCACTGTCAACAAACATACACCAGTTTTGTCGTGAAACTAGAATTATGTACATCTATAATAAAAGATAAATAAAAAAAAAATTAAAAAAAAAAAAGAGTAACCTATGTCCCCTACTTTTTGGAAGCCTGCAGAGATGGCACCATCATTCTCTGAAGCAGTGAGTTCATGCTCAACCTTTTCAAGACCTTTACTCACAGCTTGCATTTCTTCAGCTAAAGACTTCAATTGGATCTGGCCATTTGATATGCAGATGGAACAAGCAATAAATTGTACAAATGAACTACAGACACCCCATTCACATATTACATTAAGAAAAATGCAAACCTTAGGGGCTGCTTCCAAATGAACGAGATCCTTATCAAAACCCAGCAACTCTGGCATCTTCTCGGCAATGAGCTAATGAAGACAGGAAAGCAATTGACATACTTGGGACAGTAATGCATCAATGTCATTTTATTGTTCCTTGCAAAGAAGGACATCAATTTGAATCCTATGGTAGATCCTGAAATACAAAGGAGGACATCAATGCCAAAAGCTTTCCACCAAACAAAATATTACAGATCATAACATACTTCAATCTCACAGAATAATACCTCAAGAAGTGCCTTGGTTCAATGCACTCTAAAACCCAACAAATTGAGAGAGAGAGAGAGAGAGAGAGAGAGAGAGAGAGAGGGGGGGGCGCATGGGAGTGTACCTTCAGCATTGTCATTTCTTCTTTTGTAGGACAAAATTTAATGAGATTTTCTACTTGATCAATGTCCAGGGATGAAGAATCCAACGCCAGAGCAGCATTCTGGAAATAAAGCAATTCAGTTCCTCTATGTGTATACAAATTCCCACACAAACAGAGTGCCAGACTCTAACAGTTGAAGTTGGAGAAGAGCAGTGGCTTCATGGCTTCTTCTCTGCCAAATTGCCCGCCGTTTGAGTTCACCACCAAGTATTACTGAAGCACGGGGGACAGTTGTGTGAGACAGCAGTTTCTTTGGAGGGAAAGCAGTTTTAAATCAAGGTGTTGGGTACTCTGTTATTCTTGGATTTGGGGCCTTCTTTGCTGTCTTCACCTCCTTCCTGGTATTACCCCCTTCCTATCTCTGCACTGTATTATTATTCATAGGGTTTGCACTTGTAATTAGTGGCGATATTGAATAAACCTACTATTTGGAGAATTGTGTCTCATAAAAGTCTTAACATCAAGAGGATTTGGGGTTTAGCAGAAATCATGATTCCCGATGGGCTTTAACAAGAAGGCTCAAGCAACATTGAAAGGTTGTCCATCTCAAAATTCAGTTGAACTCTCTCAACAGATCAGAAATAGCCAAACTGGTACAGGTAACAAGGCTCAAGCAACATTGAAAGGTTGTCCATCTCAAAATCCCAATCTAATTTGGCAATTTTTACTGATGTTACTTTTATTTTGCCATTGCTATGTCTATGTAAATATATAGAAAAGATGTTGGCAATTTTTACTGATGTTACTTTTATTTTGCCATTGCTATGTCTATGTAAATATATAGAAAAGATGAGCTGCTAAGATTGCCAGTGGAGGTGAAGTCTGATAATGATCTAGCAGCAGCTGCTGCTGAAGCTGCTGATGGAAGGCCAGTCTACTGCAGAGATAGGTTTTATCGTGCATTAGTAGGAGGCCAATTCTCAGCTGAATATAAACCCTAGCCCCTAGTTCGTTCCATTTTTCTCAGATGATTCAACCATAAGGTGAACAAGTTGTTCTAAAAATTTTAGAGCGAATCCCCTATAGTTCTACTCTACATAAGAGAGAAGTAAAATAACTTAACATTCAGGTCAGCTTCATTTAGAAAACCAAAAACCCATTGACTCAGATTCTAGGAACCTTGTGGCAAATCAAGTTATGGAAGTATTAGCATCAGAAATAAAGAGGAACCTTAACCCACGCATGCAAGGCTACAGGTCCGAGCAAAAAGAGTGGTAGTGTGCATTCATAAGCTTATTTCACAAGAAAACAAGAGAGGCAACTGATATCCACAAATAGACAATATACAAAAGTGTTTTAAAGTATGCTGCTTAAGTTTTTATAAACAGCATTGAAATAAGTACCTGAAATTGCCTTAGTTTGCGCAGCAACAACATCCTTGGTAGATCCTGATTCTCGCTGCTCAAGAGTCTCTCCAATACAAGCAATTACCTTCAAACCTTGAGAAAGAGCATATGCAACCTTATCTCCAACAAACTGAAATGAAAATGTCCCAAATTATGAACACGTGAAATAATAATCAACAACACAGTTGGCATCATCATAAACGAATAATCGTTGCACCATGAATGAAACAAGGGTTACCTCATTTGATTCATTTAACAAGAGCCCTCCTCTCAGAATGACCCAAGGAATGCCCATATTGACAAGCATCTCTACACTGCACATTCAAAAGAATCAATTTAAATTTTTTGCATTGAAGAAATTTGAAGGACATGATAGATGCTCAGCGTTGAATATGAATAAATCCACAAGATAGAAAAGGCTAGCTAAAAGGCAAAGTCGAAGAACTGATACCAAGCACTATTAAATGAAATGAAACATATGACATAACAGCAATCACTAAGACAATAATAATAACTAAAATGTTAGTGTTCCCTATTTATCAATAATTGCCGTTTATAACTTTTTTCCACCATTTCTTTTAGCAATTAACAATAACCCAATATGCAAAGCAGTATAACAGAAAGAACAACCCAATTTTAATACTGTCAGCAAAAGCTACCACGCAACAACAAAGGCACCAACAAGTTTGTTTGTCCATGCCTTTTTTTTTTTTTTTTTTTTTTTTTTTTTTTTTTTTTTTTTTTCCTTTTTTTTGAAAAATTACATTGTTTAATATGTTTTACACAAAGTAGATTATGATAATATTGTGAACCTCAGTTTCAAATGCAAATATCATTGAAATGTAACAGTCAATTTTGGGAAAATGAGGCAACAGCATACACCTAGCAGTAATGATCAATACGTTCCAAAAGCCAAAAGTCTGTTGGGAAAAAGATATCAGCATCACCCTGCAATGGAAATTAGGAAAATGTATCCATCAGTCCTTCTTTTGCATTGTTAATACAATTATCTACAATCCTATTTTTTTTAATTTTGATTCCATGTAGGTTTAATATTTTTTACATTTAAATTACGAAGTTGTCAGAGAACTTTCTCAATTTCCATCTTAGAATTTACCACACAGTTGAGAAAAATGGTTGAATGAATAATTTTAACGAAATATGATGGCTCAGTTTCAGTTTTCAAGGTGCAACAAAACTTGTAGTTATTGAAAGTTTCAAACGCAATTACATAAATTTTGAACATTGATATTATAGGAATTTTTCTCATGAAATGTACCACGTGGAATGTCTTGATGGATTTTTCTACTACTATGATTAGAGTATGAAAATGGCATACTCAAGTGATAGTTTGAACCATGATATACTCTTTTATTTAATTTTTGTAGTTGATTAAACCAAAAAAAAAAGCTGGAAACAAAGCCATAAGTGATATTGATATGCTAGGAAGAACGAGCATTTTAAGTATCTCAATGAGAATGGGCAAAGTTAGAACAAAACTAACAGCTAGTGGAGTTTTGAACTTGTCAGAAACTAATAGCTAGCTGCAAAATGAAAAGCTTAAGTATTCAGTACATCTCTCTCTCTCTCTCTCTCTCTCTCTCTCTCTCTCTCACACACACACACACACACACACACAGAGGAGATAGAGTTGTACCTTTGCATTTAAATAACTGCTGTAATATGAACTGTTGCCATTTTTCTGCAGAGAAAGAAGTTAAACGATGGCACAAGAACTTGTCAGACTGTTAGTCATATTTGACAAGCTTACCTACAATTTAAAAATGATAAACTAAGCAAATTGTCAATGGTCAAATGAGATGATTTGGATGACTTCATTACTGGTTCATCAAGTACCACCTAGCAATCAAAAGGTCACATGGGCACATAAAGGGCACAAACTTGAACATTGCACCCTTCTATTTGTTATGGAGCAGCATCTTACATGTTTTCATATTAATGTGACAGCATTAAGTCCTAATTGAATTACACTGTTGCATTCACCATGCAGGACACTTATGTTAGATTATTTGGGGCAAGCATTCAAAATTTAAAAACAAATAAAAATAAACATGAGGCAATACACCAAAATTACACAAAGACATGGAAAGAATGTACCTTGGTTGAAACCAATGCAGCTCTTTCACCTGGTACTTTCACATCAGGAAGGAAACTGAAATCTGATGCAATCAAAGACATCTTTGGCAGGAACTTCTAGAAGTTTCTGAATGTTTGAGGAAGTGAATTTTGCAATAAGTAAACTTGAATTAGAACAAAAGGAAATACAGAGCATGTAAAACTAACCATTATTAACTGAAATACAATATATTGAAGACCAGTATGCAACTAATAAATAAAGCAATACCTTCTGCTTCTGTTCTTCAGTCAGAGTACCAGTCATGGTCACATCAAGCATATTCATAGCCACTTGTGCAGTTTGGCCTCTTTCATGATCTATAGGATTGCCTTCGTCTTTGACTAATACTGCATCAACAGAGTAAGCCTGCTCTAATGTACCATTGCTCTTTTGTTGCAATCCGCTATCTTCAATTTCAGGATTCACAAGAATCACGTCTGAATCTTGAACTGATGCTAGCTGAGATATCACTTTCTCCAAGCCTCTCCTCTAAAGGATATGAAGAAAACCCATTTAAAACATTTGACTGGGAAAGATTCAGGAGTTTGTTTAGTCTACCACTTTTATCAGATGATGTGGCTTCCACCCATGCTAAACCTTTTGAAGGATTGAGGGTAACATTGACATCTTTCAAAAGAGGATGGCGGCCTTTTAAAAGTCCAAGTTCCACAACTGCAAGCCACTGCACATACCACATGCATACTCATATCATTGACAGTTGCACAAGTGACATTTACATTGGCCAAAATCCTAATATACCACTATCAAACATGTCCATTCCATATCAATAAAACCTGAAGATCACATGGTGATGGTGGCGAGATCAGTATCACACATGCAGACACACATCATTCAAACAATACCAAGATAACTGAAATAGGCATAAAATGAAATTCTTGTAACTAATAAATTACTGATAAAAATAAGTTAAGTGTTAACCCACTATAATTAGGAGAGGTCAATGTAAATTCACCTAACCAAACACTCATTTTCTTATTCATTATTTGAAGTAGAGAGAAATGTGGGTGTTTGGTTTTCTAAATTATAAAATTATTTTTTTAACCATTAGATTAGATTTTTAGCATTAATGATTTGATAAATTGTCTCCAATCAGACCATATGAACTGAAATCATGAACAATAAAGACTAAATAGATGCAATTAATAATTTAAAAGCAAAAATGTTAGAGACTCCAAAAATTCTACCAAAAGTTCTACCAAATGTCTCACATGGGTGTAGAATGTGAGACATTTGGTAGAATTTTTGGTAGAATTTTTGGGGTGTCTAACAGCAATCATTTAAAAAAAAAAAAAACAGAAAAAGTATCTATAGTTTAGGGTATTAATGTAAATTTCAAAAAAAAAAAAAAACTATTAAAAAGGTGTCCAGGTCTTATACCTTTTTCAATTGCAGCTATTAGAGTGAATAACAAACCTTTATTTTCACTACTCATTTATTACGTCCATGATTTTATTTTTTTAATTTTTCGCATGATGATTTCCAATCAAGTGCTTTGCATACACATCAAAGGAAATAAACTAGCTTTATTATGTATGATACAAATAAATTGCTAACCATAACCAAGCCATAGTTTTTCATGATCAAGCAAAAGAATACAGAAAATCATTGTAGTACTTACCAAAGGACACCACTTGCATTGGCTAATTTCACCTTCCTCTGTTTCTGTGAGCATGCTTTTTAAATCTCTTTCTGCTTTCGTTTCGTTCACCTTCAATAATCCTCACAAGCCATTGAGGTTTTCCTTTAGAGAACATAACATATCCCATAACAAGTCCCCATACCAGCCCACATCCATAACCCGGCAATATGACATACCAATTGAATCCACTTGAAGAATACGTATCATCTTCTTGTTGTGGTGGCCTAGGGTCGCTGCATGTATTTGACAATGGAGGTCCACATAATGCCAAGTTACCAATATAGGAATCATCTAAAAATGTATCAAATTGGTTGCCTTGTGGTATCGGTCCTATTAGTTGATTTTGCGAAAGGTTGAAGACTGCAAGGGATTTCAAATTATTTAATTGTCGAGGGATCTCTCCAGTGAGTTTGTTGGAAGAGAGGTCTAACCATTCGAGCATTGCCAAATTAGCAAGAGATGTTGGTATATGACCTGTAAGGCTATTGTGAGATAAGTTGAGCCCTCGGATTGAATTTAACTTTCCAATGATCTGTGGAATCTGACCTTCGAAATTGTTTTTTGACAAATCAATTACAGTGAAAATGGTTAGGACTTTTGCCATTTCTATGGTTGATCCTTTGATTACCATAGTCAAACAATCATGATAATGATATGCATACAGATACATAGAACCAACAACGGACTTCTCTATGTATTGCAATTTAAAATTGGCTTCTATGACATTCATCATTGCATTGAAATTCTTGAAATATGTTTTTGGCAGTGGACCAGTAAAATAATTGTCTGACAAATCCATAACTCTCAAGTTAAGGAAGGGAAATTTGGCTTTGGAAGCTGGCATAGGTCCATGGAATTTGTTAGAACTCAAAATTAGAACTTGCAACCAACGTAGTTTTTCCAACCAAAATGGAAATTTGTCAGAGAACTTGTTACATCCAAGATCTACCACTCGTAGCATTTTGCAATTGACTAAAGATTTTGGTACTGTACCCTCAAATCCATTTCCATTAAGGTTGATAATTTCGAAGGAATTTCCCTTTACAAATGTATTAGGAATGGTGCCAGAAAAATTATTCTTCCCCAGATCGAGCACAGAGAAATATGTGCTGAAGTTTCCTAAACATTGTGGAATAGAACCATTAAAGCTATTACTAGACAGGACAAGTAATCGAAGGGAAACTGCATGACAGAGCATGTCTAGCTCACCAGTGAAGTTATTTGATGAAAGAATGAGACTAGTAAGGTTCACAAGTTTGAAGGTTGAACTTGGAAACCTACCATATAGGCTGTTATTGCTCAAATCAATAGCAATTAAATCAGTGGATTTGAACTCTTTTACATGGCCAGTCAATTTGTTATTACTGAGGTTGAAGTAATGCAATGCTGGTAAGCTAAAGACCCAAGATGGAAGAGGTCCTGTTAGCTGATTATTCGACAAATCTAACTCAACAAGTGATGTTAGGTTTGCAACCAATGATGGGAATGGACCGCTGAAGCTATTTGAACCAACATATAAATACATAAGACTTTTTGCATTAGGTAAAAAATCTGCGATTTTACCTTCAAAATTATTATACTGAACTCCCAATTTGACGAGATTTCCAAGGTTTGAAAGTGAAGATGGGAGCATGCCAGTGAAATTGTTATATGAGATGGCTAAACGAGTCATTTCCGTAAGGTTTCCAAGCGACGTCGGGATGGATCCATAAAATTTACAACCAACGGCATACAACGTTTTCAAGGACTTCAAATTCCCAATTGAGTCAGGTAGTTCTCCAGAGAAATTAGTGTCTAAAAGCCGCAAGTACTGGAGAGGACTGCTCGAGTTCATAAACTCGGGAAAATAACCAGTGAGAGCAAGATTATACGATATAAGCAGCTCATTCAGATGTGGTAAAAGGAATATTCCGTCAGGAAATTTTCCAAGCAATCCACACGAACTAAGATCGAGACGTGTTAAAGAAGTCAGATTGAGCAAGGAAATCGAAACCACTGAAGATATGTTTACTTCTCCAAGATTAAGTTCTCTTACCTTGGTTAAGTTTTGAACAAGTAATTCAAAACCCGGTTCTTCCAACCTCAAACCATAATTGTAAGAGAGATCAAGCGAGACCAATTTGCTCAGAAAGGAGACTTCTATAGGGACTTTGCCAGAAAAAACAGAGCCAGAGAGGTTGAGGTGTGTCAGTCTGGTGAATCGACTAAATTCAGATGAGATTCGAGACATACCAAAGTGATTGAAAGCAAGGTTGAGGCTTTGGAGGTGAGGAAAGTAGTAGAAGATGGTGCTATTGGGGTGGATGGTGCCTAGGAGCCAGCTGCAACTGAGGTCGAGGCCAATTACTTGACTTGTGTTGTTGTCACACTCGACCCCATCCCATGAGCAACAATCAGAACCCTCCTTCCACGACTCCATCTTCGGGTAAGAATGATCACAGTCGGAAGCAGATTTATTGAAGGAAAATTGTTGCTTAAATTGGAGCAAGGCAGAGCTCTGTTCTTGAGTGCACAGTTGGGCATGCAAACAAGTAATCTGGGAAAAACAAAGAAACAAAAAGAGGTGAAAGAGTTGATTGTTAGAGACCATCTTTGCTTCGAGATTCAAAAAAAAAAAAAAGGTTGTAATGAAAGCTGACTATTAACAAGGGAGAGGCCAAATGCTTTATAGGCAAATGTAGGTGCAATGCGAAGCCTGCAAAAGCAAGTAAATTGACTCTGACTAGTCAGTCTTCATTGACGTCTACAGAGCTGGATCCCATAATGTATTTTTCACTCGTCAAGGAAGACGTGACTTCATAAATGTTGATCATAATTAAAAAAAGGAAAATGTCTCGTAACTCAATTTTTGTGGTTTAAAAGTGGTTTAAATGGCCAAAACGACGTCGTTTTGGCCATTTTTATGTTGTTCTGTACTCAAAACGACGTCGTTTTGGCTATTTGAGCCACTTTTGAGCCACAAAATTTGAGCTACGTAGCATTGTCGTTAAAAAAATTGTGCACCCACCTTCTTGTCATAACAAAATTAGGATTTTCTACATTAGAAGTCATAAAATTTGTGATGAGTGTCTTATGTCATTTTGTTTAAAAATTATGAATGAATAAATTTATGATGTACGTTTGAAAGTCAAAATTACATATTATTATAGTTATATTATAAACAATATAGTATAAATGTTACAAATTATTTGTGATAAGAAATGTTACGAATCAATTCAGTGATAAAAGTTACAACATATTGCGGTATTTATTACAAAACACTATAATTATGTTATGTATACTATATTTTGATGTATTTTTTTAAGTACATACACCGTATATGTGTCAAACTTTTTTGGCATAAGGTTACGGAGCTAAAATAGTTACAAAAAGACAAAATAAGCTCAAAAATTAATAAGACAAAATATCATATCCAAATCATAATCATTTCATTTTTTCTCTTATAAAAGTTAAAAAAATCAAAAAGTCCATCTCAAATGAAACTTTTTAATCCCAAATTAAAATAGCTAAAATATTAAAAAATCAATTCACATCCCAAACGAATCCTTTGGCCCTGTTTGGCAAGTTAGATTTTAGCTTCTTTTTTCTTTTTTCTTTTTTTTTTGTTTAGGCTAAAATCCAACAAAAATAAAATAAAATAGACTAAAATAATTAATAAAACAAAATATCATATCAAACACATAATCATTTTACTTTTTCTCTCACAAACATCACAACCAATTATAAAAAAAAAAATTTAACTATCTTCTCAAACACAAAAATTTAACCTTATTAAAACAGTCAAAAACTAAAATAGTCAACTTTCTAAACAATACCTATATATTACTTGTTCTTTTTTTTCACATTTTTATATCACTAGTCTAGATACATGACATGACATGACATGACAAGACAAGGTATCATTTGTTTATATTAATTTCTTAATAATTATCTTCAAATAAAGTAACTATTAATAAGTATGATTAATGCTTCGGACCCCCAGTGAGGTGGCAGGCGGTGATTGGGTTTAAAAAAAAATTGTTTTATTTATTTATTTATTTTTAAAGTTTCGGCCAGTGGGGGCACGCCACCTCATTGGGAGTGCGACCCCCACTGGGGGTCTGTAGCGGTTCTGAATAAGTATTTGGCAATACAAAATGATAATAGATAATGTGCAATATATAACATTTCTCTTTTTAAAAGATTTCATTTGTTTATATTAATATCTTAATAAATTATCTTCAAATAAAGTAACTATTAATAAGTATTTGATAATACAAAATGATAATAGATAATCTGTAATATATAACATTTCTCTTTTTAAATTCATTTATAGGGAAAATAGCTAGTAAGTGAGAGACCATAGATAAAATGAACTTTAAAAAAAGTTGGAGCAAAGAAAAATCCTCTCCAATCCAATTTTTGGATTACAAGATATTGTTTGGACCTTTGGAGTCTATTACAGATCTAATTTTAGTGATGTAAGTTCATCATGTATGCTTTATTTAGTCGAAAATTTTAAAAATTGATATAATAATTGAAGCTACATCAATTGAAGAAATTTTTTTTTTTTTATAGGAACATTTAAGAGTTGAATATGAGACAGCATAGTTGATTAGATCTCATATTTGGAAAAATTATTTGGTACTTCATGGGTTCTACCTGTCCATACTTCCCACAAATCATCATACATCATATCCCTTGCTATTTCTTAATTACTTAACACAAAATTATGAATTTCATTTCCTTCTCTACACAAAATTTCAAAGACACCACATCGCCGTGCCAGTTCCACCAAATAACTTCTCTCATATTTGCAATGTGAAGCCTACAAAACTAAGCTAGTCTTCACTCATGTCTATAAAGCTTAACCCTATAGCATGTTTCACTCATCAAGGAGCACTTTGACTCCATAAATATTGATCATAATCAATTGTTTAAATGCAATAGTGGGTGATTGAGGTTTGTTTATTTAGTGGCTATGTTTTTGGTTTATCTTCATTTTTATTGAATATTTTTTTAAAAATTTTAGTTTCTAAATTTAACTTGAGGAGACGAACCACAAAATTTAAAAATAATTAAAAAAAAGTTTGGAAAAGAAAAACTAACACCCCCAAACACCCCCCAAAAAAAAAAAAAATTGGCTTGTCTTTGGCTTTTTCATTATTTTGGAATTTTTCAAAAAAATTTACTTTTTAGATTCTTCTATACAAGACAAGCCGAAAAATGAAAAAAAAAAATTGACATAATTATGAGAAAAAATTAGGACGAATTACACTAATGGTCCCTGTAGTTTTGGATTTGTGTCATTTTGGCCTTTGACCTTTCAATTGTAATACATTTGATCTTGAATTCCAAATTTCATTCCAAATATGGACAATATTTTTAAGGAAAATGTTTGGTAGCTCAAATTTTTGTGGCTCAAATGGCTCAAATCTGTCAAAACGACGTCGTTTTACACTCAAAATCTGTCAAAACGACGTCGTTTTGACAATTTTGAGCCATTTGAGCCACAAAAATTTGAGCTACCTAGCATTGTCGTATTTTTAATCCATTTCAAGACAAGGTCGTCAATTTGATAAAATGTAAACTAGTTTGACAAAAATAAATGTCAAAAATTTATTTTTTAATTTTTAAAAATTATTTCTACTCACCAAGGATAAAATTATATAAAAATGATAAATCTTTTACATTTTTATTTATTTTTTTATTTTTTTACCAAATTAATTTTTAGTATGCGTTTGGATGATGATCATGCAATGGGTGGTTATTTTTGTTGATATTTTTGGATGGTTATCATGTAATAGATGGTTGTATTTGTTGTTAACAAATATTTTTGGATGGTTATCATGTAATAAATGGTTATTAGATTTTTAATGCATAATCAATATATTTAATATATGAAATGATTTTAATTTTGGATTTTATTTATTTAATTGATTGGTTTAATAATGACATCAAAGTTATCGCTATATTTGATTTTTGAAAAAATAAACTAATTTAATGAAAATAAATATCAAAAAAAAATATTTTAAAAAATTATTTCTACTCCCCCAAAAGATAAAAATTATATAAAAATGATATTTTTTAAAAAAAAAAAATTCAACAATTTAATTTTTAATTTCTTAGAAAATTTTCTAAAAATAGATTTTGAAAACCAAACCAAACTGAACTTTATAACAAAAAAAGTTCCAACATTATTCATTAAAAAAATGCCATTATATTTCAAACAACATATAAGTTAACCAATAAAAAATAAGTTGTGTGATGATTTTACCCTTCAAATTGAGTAACAATTTCTTCAATTGTCCTTATTTAGAACGAGATTTAAAATTTAGGATTAAATGTATCACAATTGAAAAGTCAGGGGCCAACATAACACAAGCTCCAAACTATAAGGAGTATTAGTGTAATTCGTCCAAAAAGTTATTAAAGAGAAAAAAAAAATGGAAAAAATATGAGACTTTTTTGTGACAACCTCATCCTTAGAAAGACATACACCAAGACTTAGAAAAATCTATAATACATACTCATTTTTGGGTATGTAACTTATGCCTAGTTATAATTTTCATGTTTTTTTATTTGATCTGTTGTGCTGTTGGTTATAACGTAGTTGTAACTCATAGTTGTGTTAGTCTATTATTATTTTTATTTTGGTTATTACTAAAGGGTTTTTTTTGTTATGTCTCAAGTGATTTTGATTATAATCTTTGGTTATAACTCATTGTGAATTTAGTTATGACTTATTATGGTTATTGTTTTGGTTACAATCGAAGATGTGTTTTCTTATACCTCAAGTAGTGTTTGATTATAACTTCTTATTATTTTTAATTATGACTCTAAAATAATTTTGTTATGACATTTGTGATGTAGAATAACCTTGAGGGAAATTCTATAGTACACACCCATATGCATCTTGTTACGCATTTTTGTGGTGTACGTTATATATTTTGTGGTAAATGTAATGTAATTTTTTGGTAGAGTTATGATTATTTGTGATTCAAAAATGAAATTATGTATTTTATGGTAATTGTGTGGGTGATTTTTTGACCACACTACCAACTTAGTATTCAACTGGAGAACACTGGCAGAATAGATGACACCTAGCTAACCTGCCACAGAAAGAGAAGATTCCGGCGGTGGTTCGTCCACCTGGGGGCACTCCGACGAGCAAGTCAATATATCTCTCAAAGATAATCAATAGTGCTAATCTCACTATTCAGAATGTAAATTGCGTACCTTAGACCCACGGGGGTGCCTCTCTTTTATAGCTAACTCAATCCTTGTCCCAACAGGAGCCTAGCTCTAAAGGACTTAGGATTACTGCCAATCTTGGACTCCTAGCAGGATTGGGATAAACTCTCTAAGAGTCTTATCTTTATCCAAACTGAAGTCCTTCCTTCTTCTAGGACTCTTGTCCCTTATCCGCTTATCTCGGATTCCGATATCTTCGGAGGTAACCTCAGCCTTGTCGAGATAACCTCGGCATCATGACCAGGACACGTGGCACCTCGGCTGACACGTCGGCGTCACCTTGGCCGACACGTCGGCGTCACCTTGGCCACGTGTTGGTACTCAAAAAATATATCCCCACAACTGCCCCCTAGGTTCTATTACCTCGGATGGCATTCTGAGGTGATGGAACCTACATCGGTACTTCTTGTCAGTACA